GCTCCCCGTGCGTAGCTCTGCAGGGCTGCCTCTCACCCATACAAACTCAGCGCCCCCCCCTTGCTGCATTCACTGACACCGTAAACAATTCTCTTGTGCCTGTGTGGCTTATGAGTGCTAGACAGTATAAATGCATGCAGCAACTCTAGACAAAGTATCCTACAGCTCCTCCCCCTCTCTCTTTCTCTCTCTCAAGCACAGCACACGCCCTCGTGTGCTGGGTCCCCCCAAAAACCGAAAGGAAAAAAAAGAGGAATAAAGGAGAGGAAGAGATGGTGATGGGTTTGTTTATGTTTGTTGCTGCCGCCACAGAGAGACGCACGTCCTTGCCATGAACCTGTACAACAGGGTGGGCCCTTCAACTGTATTGGGGGCCGCTTTCAGCCGCCGCGCTCATACACAGGGGACAGGGTAAGCTAGCTAGAAACTCTGAAACCTAAACCTAAATTTGTTTTTATACGAAGGCAGTGAAAGTGTTGTGGTAGCGGCGATGAGTTGCTGCTATTTTTAGAGTGAATTGCGCAGATAAAAGCAGAAAAATAATCATAGTCACAAAACAAATATACTCGTTTCTATTTAATCCCCATAGAATAACTTTATTCTGCATCGGCTATCTTATTGAGGGCCCACCATGAGCTACGCGACAGCATAGACCGAAGGATTCACCTCAACATAAAAGTAACATAAAAGTGATATTATAAATTTCATTGAATTTACCTCAGATAACAAAAAAACTTCATCATGAAAAGAAGAAACTGGAGAAGACTGAGATCCTCGAGGCACGTGTATGCGCGGAATAGAAAACCAGAATATTTCGTTATAGAGAGAAGAGAACGACGATACTAGCGAGTTACTGAGTGGGTTACCTGTGCGAAGCAATCATATAAAATTACATATGAAAACTCTGAGACTCAACAGTGCAGAACCTGAGCTTGAATACAGCAGCATAGAGTGTTTAACCTGGCTGCTGGGTATATCTATTGTTGTAGGGTGGCTGCAACAAGTTTGTTTCATGTGCTTATACTTGCTCTCTGGCAGCATATTAAATATTAAAAAGTGTTCAATAAATATTTAGAGTATTATTTCATTCAATAAAGTGAGTTTCGCTGTGTATTCAGATGCTGCTGCGCTGCAACAGTAGCTGCACCAGGGTATTGTACAACTCAAGCCATGCCGCTTCT